CCTGTTTTAACTGTTATATTTGGGGGGTCTCTTCTTTGCCAGCAACTTAGCCAGGATCCTAACTAATAAAGGACATTCACTTATATTCAATAAGAAGTGCACTTTCTTTCCATGCAGAAGCATTTCCTAGCATTTTTTAGAAAGGCTGGAAATGCTAGGGGAAGTTTTTGGGGAAAAGGAAGTCCTTATTCACCATGGGATTTTAAAGTTTGGTTTTCTCGTTGGGAGAAGATAGCACATTTACATTTCTCTTCCAGGGACATAATTCCATTGACATTCACAGCCATTTATTGACTGCCTACTGTGTGTACAACACTGTAGGAGTCCTTAGGAAACAGAGATGAAACAGACACAGCTACTGTGGGCCTCAAGGAGCCCACAATGTACTAGGGCAGACAGCAGAAATACCCAGACAGATATGGGATGATACCCAAACCTGATGGGGTGCCTATAGTGACAGATATGAAGGAGGGTATCTGGGCCCAGGTAACTGGGAGAGAGGACTTTCATAGGGACAGAGAAGGAAGGAGGGTCTCGGGAAGAGTTTTCAAAGAGACAACATTTGAGATATGTGATGAAGTATGAGTGGAGGAAGGATGGGAAGCTGTGGGGTCAGGTTTCTAAAGCAGAGGGAACAAATGTTAGGGGAGCTTGGAAAACAGGGAATATGCAGACTTCTCTGGAGTATGAGGAGGCGAGAAGAGACGGTGAGGCATGACTCTGGGAGGTGGTCCGAGGCCACATGGTGAAGGAACAGTGCATGTTATACCAAGGAATCTTAATTTATTTTGTACTAATGGGGAAATAGTAGAGGATTTTGAGGACTGAAATTAGAATTCACCTCTACACTCTAGGAGAGTGATTATCAAACTTTAGCATGCACCAGAATTTCCTGGGTCTTATTGAAGGGGTTTCCCACTCTCAGAATTTCTGATTCCCTAAGTCTTCAGTGGGGCGCTAGACTTTGCATTTCAACAAGTTCCCAGGTAATGCTAACGTTGCTCTGGAGATATCACTCTGAAAGCAGCTCCTCTAGGAAGCTGTCTCTGGCAGATGGGAGGGAGCAGAGTTGCAGGTGAAGGAGTCCAGAGGTTGGTGGGTCAGGTGAGATTTGGTCCATGGGAAAGGACTGAGTTACTGGGGAAGGGCACATATACAAATGTTTCTGTAGAGGCAAAGACCATCTGGGTAAGAGAGACAAGCCAGGAAGAGAGGAAATCATCAGTCTTGTGTGAATGATGCAAAGCATGGCAATCCTTTTATCTGAAACTGAGAAGGTGCCAGAGGAGAAGGTTTGAGTGTGGGAAAATGACCCATGAGTTCAGTTTAGAAAGGCTGTGTTTGAGCCTCTGACAAGAGTATTCACAGGGAGAAATGCATGGACATGATTCTTGGTTTTGGAGTTTGAGAAAGAGAGAGATCAGAACTAAAGACACAAACATAAGAGCCACAGACACAGAAGTAATTGCTGAAATGATAATGGGGAGCACAGAGTATGGAGCATGGAGTTACAGGAGGTAAGAACTGAAGACAAAGCCCCAGAGTAAAGCAAAGGGGATACAAAATGAGGAGGTAGGTAGAGAACCGGGAGAGTAAGATATCCTGGAAAGCATGGGCTTTGAAAAGAAAGGGATGGTTTGCTGTTTCAGTAGATGAGAGGACCGAGGTGGATGAGGACAGAAGGAAACATAGCAGTTGCCTATTAGCGAGTCGCCGATGACCTTTGGGAGGTCAGTTACAGAAGAGCTGGCAGAGGCGCACTCAGATGGCAAGGGCTAGAAGAGTCAGTGAGAGGAGAGAAGTGAGCAGAATGAGTAGAGTGACGTGTGATGACTCTCAGGCGGCAGTCGGGAGAGAGACGAAGCAGGAGCCGGCACAGGAAGTAGGGCCAAAGGAGGTGTGTGTGCACCAGTGTCCAAGAGACCTGAGCAAACTAATAAGTCAGTGAGGTTAAAGAGTGGGGAGAGGAAGGGGCGGCGAGAGGAGAGAAGGTGGGACAGGGACGATGAGAGGAAGATCACAGAGAAGTCGAGAAGGATAGATTTAAGGGCTGAACTGTGAGGGTGGAGAGAGGGCAAACCAATGTCTTCTCAGCACACAAAGAAGAGAGATGGTGTGTGAAGAGTGCAGAGACGGGGAGAAGCTGCAGAGGAGAGATGAGGAGCAGAGCCCAGGGCAGTTCTTTACTGAGGAGCATACGGGAATGTACAGACTTTCAGTCCTTTCCGTCACGGCTCTTGACTCAGTGGTGAGTTCCTGCGCGTGACTAGGGCAGTCATCCAGGCCGTGAGAGGCAGGGTCGGGCCTTGCAGTGCATGGCCTCAGGGTGCAGTTAGGGATGGAAGACACAGCGATTTCAGGAGACAGAATTCCATGCTCATTTCCTGATGAGTTGCCTTTGCTTGTAAGCATAGATTTTCAACTTTTAATTTTTTCAACTACACAACTGGTAATTTCATGGGTAACATTTCTCCAATGAAGGTCTTTAGGTAATATATGCCCTCATTTGATCATTGCACTCCATTAAGCTGCTTTAAAAGTTCTCCAAATTTATCAGGTACTCCCACTTTTATCCTGCCAGAGTGAGAGCTTCACTGGGACTTAGAAGGGGAAAGGGCCCAATGTGTCTGCCAGGGAATATAGTAGCACATGGACCAAAGTAGATTTAGATTCTTATTGGCTTATGTTTCATATTCATAATCAAAGGCCTATGAAAGTGCCAGTGTATTCATTCCAGGTTCCTTTTAGAGAATAAGGAAGCTTATTTAGTCATGAACTGAAAAGGACATGCCAGCTCTATTATTTGTGTCTGGAAGGAATGGGCTATGTATCACGGCGAATAACTCTAGCTCAGGTCTGCAAGCAGTAGATGACAGCACATACACTTTTTATGCTTTATGTAGTCATGCAATTCCCATTGGAATTTGTATGCACATGGAGCCATAACCTCAGATTTAATGTCACAGAAGGGAATGTTGTCAAGTATTTAATTTATAAGTAAAAAGAAATTCTTCAACTGAAGATTTATTTTGGCAATCTTTAATTGCAGGATTAACTTAAATGGCTAAAAAAGGTAGTTTCTATTTTACCTTATTATTACTTCTATGAAATTTCTGTTTTTGTATGATAATATTTATTTGAAATTATGTGCCACAAATAAGACCAGAGGTAGAAAACAGCACACCAAATAACACACCTCAAACAAAACAGAGCAAAACAAAAAACAGGACCACACATACTTACAAATTTCCTGAACCAAGTGTGTTCAAGAATTAATGAGGTGCACCCTTTCCCCCATCCACTCACAGAGCTGGTAAAAATCATGCCTCTTGGCTTTTTACAATCTAATTATGTTCTCGACATCTAATGAGCTTTTTAAAAGCCAGCTTAAAGTCCTCATTAAAGCTTGTGTAGAGCAGAGGGTTGATAAGAGAATTAACATAACCGAGCCATGTCAAAAAATCAGCCACTTCAGAGGACACTGTATAGACACTGAGACCGACAATCAACTCTTTGATGAAAAATGGCAGCCATGACAAAATGAATGCACCCAAAATCAGTCCCAGGATGCGTGCCGCCTTGCGCTCCCTGGTACTAGAGATCTGCTGGCGTTCTCCTGGGTGATCTAGATCATTGTCGAAGGAAGAGATCCTGATGGAGGTGTGGATCTTTTCAAACTCTGTGGTAGGGTCTGAGGTTGAGAAGTCAGACACGCAGAAAGTCTGTGTGAGTTTACAACTCGCAAAAGAATTTTGGCTATCTGTGCTTCTGCTGCTTAGGTGCCGGCTTGATCCTCTCTTCTGGTAAAGGCTCTTGGCCGCATGGTAAATCCGGTAATAGAGAATCAGTATCAAAGTCAAGGGGATATAAAATGCCCCAAGTGTGGAGTAAATGGTGTAGATGACGTGGTCATGTTGAATGGTGCACTGACTGGGGGGCGGGCTGAGCTGGCGGTGACTCCGCCAGAACAGAGGGGGCATGGAGATGAAGATGGAGATGGCCCAGACGGTGAGGATCATCAGTCCAGCTCTCTTGGCGGTCCTCTTCCTGGCATACTCAATGGCATTGGTGATGGCCCAGTACCTGTCCAAGGCAATCACGCAGAGATGCAGGATGGAGCAGGTGCAGCAGGTCATGTCCACACTCAGCCACACCTCGCAGATGAAGTACCCTAGCTTCCAGCTGTCCATGACAATGTACATGATGCTCAGGGGCATGACCAACACTGCCACCAGGAGGTCCGTCACAGCCAGAGAGCAGATCAGGTAATTGGCAGGCTGGTGGAGCTTCTTGGTGGTGCAGATGGCCATGATCACAGCCAAGTTCAGCAACACAGTCAGGGTGGTGATGACCACCAGAGCCACAGAAATGAGCATCTTCTCAGTGACGGTCTTGGGTCTCACGGCCGCACTGGCTTCTGTGGTGCAGTTAGTGGTGTTCATGTTTTCCCTGTTCCTTCGGCACTGTGGAGAAGCTCTTGGTTAATTTCCTTCAGCTGGAAACTACTTAGACTTGAATGTGTCTCATTTGTAAGGAGGCTTTAGTTTCTTCAGCTATGTAGTCTCTTGTGTTCTTTTTTGTATGGGTAAAGGGAAGTGCCACAGCATTTCTTCTGGATGGAGGGTTCCTGGAAGATAGTATGTTACTGGTTAATTAATGAAAAAGCCCTGTTTTTTTTTTTCCCCTCTGGAAAACCTGATAATATCTTGAGATTCATAAATTCTTTACACATATTTGATATAATTTCCATTTTTATCTCTGAATATAAAGTTCAGCTTTACATTATTCCTTAAAAGATACTTTTATAAAAGTTAAGTTTCTAAACTCTTTCTGATGAAGATATAACCAAATACTGTCTATCTTGCCACCTGAATTCTTTTATTTTTTATTAAATTCATATAGAGATCTATTTATATCTATAAAAAGCCTATTTCACATTTGGAGACATATAGTCACATTCTATCAGAACTTAGAAATTCAGGGACCATTACATTGAAGAAAAAACTTGTGTTGTTTATAATGAGCAGACTTCCAACCAGATTTTAAAGTTTCATAGCAAATATTCAGCTCCAAAGATATTAGCATCACAATGGAATTGTGTAATTTTTCTGATTATTTCTGATACTTTACATATCCCTCTGTGTATTTCGTAGGAGAAAAGGGAAAAAAAGCATATGCTTTGACGTTTATGGCAAATTGTTCTCAGAGTAATGAGTAAATTGACTATGAAATGGCATCACTGCCAAACTCAAAGATCTCTACATAAAAATAAATGTGTTTAGTTTTGTTTAACATTTGTGTCCTTTCAATTTCTCTATCTATCCATCTACCTACCTATCATCTTGTCTCCTGGATGGCTGTTATTAAGCAGGACAGTCAATGAGATAGGGACATTTATTGAGTGCCTAACTGTAAAGGCTTTTTACAAAGAGTAAGGTCAAATATAAATATATGTTTATAAGAACAAGACAATCAAAATCTGTATAGGAATACTCATGGCTAATGGCTGTTGGTTAGAATGCTGATCAAATTCTGTGATTTGACTGAAGGATTAGGCCCAGGAAAATTTCAAAGCAAAACTGGTGTTTCAGCAGTTTTAAGATGGGACAGACTGATGTGGATTAGGCCTAACAGACACAATTATCTTAGCAAAGACTGAGAATGGGAGCAGGTGAGGCACGTGTGAACTGGAGAGTGAAAGTAGGTGGGGGGGGACTGGAAGTTAAGGGGCAGGCATCAAAATCTCCAGCCAGGGTGAGATCGAGCTGGCTCTAGAGCTGGTTTCTCCTGCCCATTGGGCAGAACCAAGAATAGAGGGAGATGGGTACCATTAACTTTTAGATATAGACAATAATGATTTCACTAAAGACCAAAAATGGGGCAATTGTCTTTAAGACAGTCTATCTTTCTGCAGGTACCTGAGAATTGTCATGCCTCTGTGTTTCTACTAAGCTTTTACACTGTTTCTGTGGATTCGCCTACTTTTCGAAGTGTTGTGTTTCTCTAGTTCTCCCACAGGACTTGCTTCACCACCAATATCCTCTTTCTTGTAAATTAAATGTTTTCTTCTCCATTGGAACCTTTCCCTCTGTTTATAATCAGTTTAAATTTGCATTTTTATTTGAGGCAGGCTGTACAATTTAAAGGGTAGGCTTTGGACTCAGACCTGGGCTCAGATTCCAGCTGAGCTACCTTATCAGCTTGGGGCAGCCTCTCTACATTTCCCCCTATATCCCATGCACTTATTTCTCCATTTTGACCCCTTTCTCTATAATAAAATGAAATGAAATTATTTTCTTTATACAACTATTCTTAATTATGTCTTTCTTGAGTTCTACAGGTTTGTTGGATAGAGTAGTTCTCAACAAAAAGGCTTTTCCACTCTGATAGGCAGATTGAGAATACAGAGAGTGACATGGATAAGGGACAAAAACTTTACAAATTCCAATGTGATAATAGAGAAAATTAGGAAACGTGGTTTTTGGAAATATGCAGTAAGAAAATCAGAAATAATTTAGCTTCACAGAGCTCTTAAAAGCTGGTGTAATTATCCAAGCTCCTATAAGTCCTAATTGTTATTTCTCTGGTGACACCATTTTCTTTGTTACTTTGTGATCATTTATGTTTCACTCCCCCCAGCAGGCAACACATTTCTGGAGGGTGGGATGTCTGACTGATTCTTTTAAATGCCTCTCGTTAAATTTGCAAAAACATTACAGGTTGCGGCTACATTGCCAGCTCTTTAATGTGTCTTAAATGTGTTTATTTTGTGTCCAAGCCTTTCAGAATAGGAGTTTTGTATCTTTGTATTGTCAGTCACCCCAAACTTCTGCACACATCCAGCTTGCCATCTTTAATCTTTTTTCCACTAACAATGTATCTTGTACTTCGTTCCATAACAACAGATATAACACAGCCTTTTGAGCAGCTGGGTAAGAGCACTTAGGGAGAGATTATAGATGGAACAAGTCTGAGAACTGGGCCCTGGAGCTCTTCACTCTTTAAAGGTCAGGAACCAGCAAAGCAGAGAAGAACAGCTATTGAAGTGGAGGAGAACAATAAGAGATAACTGGGTCCCAAGACTATGTGAAGAAAGCTTATCAGACTTGGCCATTGGCTGGGCAAAGTGGATGACATTGATAAACCTTGACAAGAGCAGTGTGATGCAGTAGAGGGGTTGAAAGGCTGAATGTGGTGGTTTCAAGAAATAAAGGGAAGAGAGGAAATAGGAACATTGGATAAGGGCAATTCAAAAGTTTTGCAGAAAAGGAGAGCAGAGAAATAAGGTATCTGGGGAGGGAGATATGGGGTCAAGGCTGCTTTCTGTTTAAAATGAGAGATTGTCTTTTTTTGCCGGTCTGGTTACAATTTTCTCTGCTGCTACACTCAATTTTCTTTATATTGGGACACAGAGCATTTTTTGGAGTGAGTAAATGTAAAAGAGGAAGCAGGAAAGCAGTATGGAAGAGTCTGGGAGTCAGTAGGTGAGGCCTGGAGGCCCTGGGTAAGTAGAATTTCTCGAATAATTTAAAGGATCATGTTGAAGGCAGTGAGGGGCCAAGATACAGTCTATTTTAGGAAATGATCCATCCTCAATTGACTTTTACCTTCCTAAGAAAATAACCCATGGTTTTATAATCACCACCAACTCCTTAGGGGGTAGTATGATTTCTAATTAGAATACTGCTGTTTAAATGGCACCTGAAAATCTCTTAAGTCTCTTTAGCTTTCACATAGTAGATAGGGGTGGAGGAATTATAATAACACTTAACTCAGAACACATTCTGCAAAACCTATCCAAACACTAATATCAACACACCAAACTTTTATTAGTCCATCAGAATGGAAAGTTAACTGCAATTATCATAGCTAAAAATGGACATATCCTATCAGGACTTAAAGCAGGAACTTCTTGGGGGGGTTTATTACTTTCAGTTTTTGTTCTGATTACAACATGGAAAATACCAGTGTGGTCCAAAGCCATATTTAAATAGGTTTTCATGAAAATTATGAACAGGAGAGAATCACAGTAAACCAAATGGGTCAGAGCATTCTGCTCCCATTTACTGGTATGCTTTGGAGCCTCTGACTTACACTACCCCACTGATGGTCAGAGCATTAGGGAGATGAGGCCACGAGGACACTCAACTGATTTTTTATTTCACCCTCTTATCTAGTCTTCTACTGGTTTTCAATAACTACCAATAATTCAACATAAATATTCTTTCATCTCTTCATTGTTTTCATTTTGCCCCAGTTTTTCCAAATCAGTAAAAAATCTCCAACATAGAATCTAAAAACAAAACCAGTATATGAACAAAACAAGACAAGACAAAACAGAAACAGACTCATAAATACAGAGAACACACTGGTGGTTGCCAGAAGGTGGGTCATGTAGGTGAAGGGGATTCAGAGGTATAAACTTCCAGTTGTAAAATAAATAAATCACAGGAATGTAAAGTACAACATAGAGAACATAGTCAATAACACTGCAATAACTATGTACGGTGACAGACGGTACCTAGACTTACCATGGTGAGCATTTTGTAATGTATATAAATGTTAAATCACTGAGTTGTATACCTGAGCCTAATATAATATTGTGTGTTAACTATACCTCAATAAAAATAAAAAGTCTCCAATATGAGCCAAGTGCTTTATTGTTGTTTCAGGAGTGGCAGCTTGCTCTCGCAATTACTAATTTTATCTAATCGTTTCTTGAATTCACTTCTGCAACCTTCATAAAGACTTTTCTTTGCCTGTCCAGGGGAAGGAAGGATGGATAGTAGTGTACGTCTCAACTTGATCAGATCAAAGGAAGGTGTGGGGAGATACTGAAGCAAGGGCTTGTTTATTTTCTTTCTCCTTTCTATTTATTTAAATTGTGATTGTGACATGATGTGTGGTTATTTTGAGGTTATTATATTCAGAATAACAGGGAAAACATATCATTGTAAAACTTCAAGCAAATGTAGTACATAGAGGTCTAGGAGATGTTTATACATTCTGGCCACAAGTCTTTTGTCAGCACAGTGTTTTGTTGGGGGACTGGAAGTTAAGGGGCAGGCATCAAAATCTCCAGCCAGGGTGAGATCGAGCTGGCTCTAGAGCTGGTTTCTCCTGCCCATTGGGCAGAACCAAGAATAGAGGGAGATGGGTACCATTAACTTTTAGATATAGACAATAATGATTTCACTAAAGACCAAAAATGGGGCAATTGTCTTTAAGACAGTCTATCTTTCTGCAGGTACCTGAGAATTGTCATGCCTCTGTGTTTCTACTAAGCTTTTACACTGTTTCTGTGGATTCGCCTACTTTTCGAAGTGTTGTGTTTCTCTAGTTCTCCCACAGGACTTGCTTCACCACCAATATCCTCTTTCTTGTAAATTAAATGTTTTCTTCTCCATTGGAACCTTTCCCTCTGTTTATAATCAGTTTAAATTTGCATTTTTATTTGAGGCAGGCTGTACAATTTAAAGGGTAGGCTTTGGACTCAGACCTGGGCTCAGATTCCAGCTGAGCTACCTTATCAGCTTGGGGCAGCCTCTCTACATTTCCCCCTATATCCCATGCACTTATTTCTCCATTTTGACCCCTTTCTCTATAATAAAATGAAATGAAATTATT